TCCTGGTCTAGACAGACTCTCTGTGTAGATTGCCAGCGTTTACAGGTGTGTATGGACACGTGTGTACCGATATGTGTGCATATGCATATGAACACACATAACTTGGTAGGGGTGCGTGTGTATCCTGTGTATGTTTGTATATATATATGTATATATATAGATATATACATATATATAATATGTGTGTATAGCCACACATATTCATGCATGCAAACATACCTTTGTAATTTAGTACTTGTCTATGATGGTAAAATGCTTTGTCTATAATGGGTTGCAGAATTTGAAATTAAGGTCAGCTCTATCTGATTTCTTAATTTTCTGAAATCTCTTTTTCTCTAAGGAGTTTTATATTCCTAACTATGCCAATGTTTCAGTCTTTAATTTCCTTGAGTACTGTGTGTGAGAGATATCTTCCCCCCATTTTTAAACAGCTGTTAACAACAACAAAAAATGAGTGATATAAGTATGTAATTCTTTCTCAGGAGTATGCACTATTTTATTTTCTTCTGTTTCCTAAAGCTTTGCCCGCTTGGCTTATGAGCTTCTTCAAAGAGGACTAGAGATCCCTACACAATATATCAGGTACAGAGAAAAAAAATCCACAATTCTGATATTCTGATACTTTTTTTTTTTAATTTTTTTTTCTTTTTCAAATCAAAGCCAGTAGTTTCCGAATTCTGTAGGTGCACTTCTTTAAAGAAGCTCAAAGGGAATAATTTGAATGAGATGAAAATATAAGTTGAAATTGAGGTGTAATATCACAAAGAAAATAAGAGCTGTGTCGAAAGTTACCGTGCTTGCTTGGCACTAAGGTTTTGCACCCAGGGAGGAAAGGGTTGCCATGTGAGCTGGCTCCTCGTGATGGGAGTGGGGAGGGCTTGCCAGGGAATATCCTGATTTCTGAGCTCAGTCTGAGAAAATCTGTTTCTCTTAGAAAGCTTTAAAAAAAAAGTCTTGTGACTCTTGCTTTAGAACAAGTTGGTGTGGTAGGGGGAAAAATCTTCTTACTGACAATGTTTTTCTTGGTGGTTTGGTGTCTGACAGGATGTCTTATCCATATGATTGGGGGGGACAGAGGGGATGTCTGATTTATTTCCTTTTTTTATTTATTTTAACATACATTTATTTGTCTCCTGTGGTAAAAATGATGCTGAAGTGTAAGGATCTGAATATCTGTTTGGATTCTGCTGTATTGGGTAATTGCATATGTGTTTCTCAGTGGGGTAGGGTTTGTGCACTAACACATCTTTTTGCTTATGTCAGAACAGTTACTGGGTGTGGGTAAATCTCCTGGAGTTGCTGGCAAAATTTAAGTGGGGTCAGGCCTCCCCTCATGATCCCTGTTAGAGCTGCAGGAATCAGTCCCACCAGCCCAAGCAGGCACACCTGAACTCAAAACAAGGGGGACAGAGAAACGAAAGAGAAGCCTTAGCCTTGTTTTAGTTTCTAGATACCTTCCAAAGTGGATGGTGGGGGACAAATAATTCAGCAATGCTCTCAACATCCCCCAACAATATTTTCTTAAAACAGAAAAAGCAAATAAGCCTCAGTATCCTTAGCTACCTGAGAAATGGCTACTGTTGAAGGCCTGCTCTGCTTTTCAAATCTTCATGCAGTAAGCTGAAGGTCTCTTGGCTCTTGTTCTCTACCTGTGACTTGGACACATGTGTGGCAATAGAAATCAGGAATCTCCTGGCCCCCAGGAGCGCTAACGCCTCTGGAGCTGCTCCTCATTCATGTACCTTTTGTTTTTCTGGGGCAGAGTGCTGTGGGGAATCTCATGTGAGAAAAGGGGGAAACTGAGGCACGCAGCCTTCTCCATGGGCTTCTGGGATGAGCTGGAGGTAGTCTTCAACCCTAGCAGGTCCATGGCAGTGGGTTTCGTAGCTGGCATGTCCCTGTGGATGTTACTGGAGAAAGTGTAGATCCCCGAGTGATGGACATCTCATGGATCTCACACCGGTAGGCTGGGGACCTCCAGATTGAAAAGCTGCTCCCAGGCAGCCTCTGGTCCTCCAAAGCCGACCCCTTGCCAGTCACACCCAATTTCAGCAGGGCCCTGGGGAAGGATAATCCTAGCTGCAGTGCAAGGCATGCCTCAGTAGGGATGTGCTGGAAAAGAAAGGGGTATGTGTACGTGTGTGTATCTGGGGAGAGATGAATGGCACCACCTGAAAGCACTTCTCCCTTCTCTACCCAATGGGAATATTCTGTTTACTGAAACAGAGCACAAAGTGTTGAATATTGTTTTGCCTGCCCTATGCAAAAAGCCTTTGTGGGGAGCACATGGGTCCAGCCCTGCAGCCTCACCCACTGCAGTAGGGCATCTGGGGGTGAGGAGACCTCAGGTTAGCTCTCAGCCTTCTGCCTCCCCAACTGTACATGTAGAAACATGGAGACCTGCTCCCTCTCACCCCAGAGCTTCCAGCTGAAGGCTTTGGTGGTGAGGTTGGGAATGGTCCTTCATTGTCTGTTGGGGAGATGTTGGGGATGCTCCTTTTAACTGCAGAAGACAGTATCCCACCACCACTTTGGGTTAATGAGGAGAGGGACTCACTTGCAACTTCCTGGGGAAAGATCTGCACATGCATGTGTGAAGGTCTGATCAGGCTGCTGAAATGTCCCCTAGGCACAGATTTGGTCACCTGGACTAGGACCTAAACCTTGAGAAGGTTGAGGGAAAAATTTCAGTTGACTCCTGGCAACTTTGGATCTGCCCTTTTTGCCTTCTACCACCATTTCAAATGCCAGGCTGTGCTTCGCTTGGGTGAAATAAAGCCAAATGTAAAATCCCTATTGGTTTCAGTGGAATACCCCTGACTTGTCCCTCAGAGTATGGAGACAAAGCCCACAAGGTTTCTAATTTAAATGAAAACAGGAAGAAAACATAGTGTATCCATCTCCGTTCTTCCCCCTAGCCTAGTGCTGGTCCCAGAGGGAGCTGCCCATTGCTCAGTATTTCCTAACAGTGCTGAGGACTGAGGTCCCCCTGAAATTAAACTCAGCCTCCAACTGGAAAGCATTTTTCTTCTCTTCTCCACTTTTCCCCGCCTGACTACTTGTCAGGCTGGGCACCTCAGACGTTTATCTGGTAACTGAGTTATTAAAAGATTTGGTTTCCTTGGGATCATAAATCAATAAACAGGAGGATTAACACAGCAGCTTTGCTTTTTAACTCAAGGGAAAAGTTTGAGGAGAGACCGTGAAAAGTTTGTTTTCAAACCAAACAGGTGGGTTACTGTAAATTTTATTTCATTCTTAATTGCTGGGTTTTTTTAAAATAACAATTCTCTATTTTCTGTTGGAAAGGTCTTTGTTTTCATACGCTCCCTGGCTTTTTTTTTTTTTTATTCCCCTGGTTGGTATTCACACAAGATGTGAAGGAAACAAGAAGCCAATTTTATGGGAATCTGTTTACAACCCGATAATTTCTTTAGAATCGGGTAGAGTCTTGTCCCACTTAATAGAAATTCTCTGTGAGAAGCAGTTTTAAGTCCCTTTGCATCCCAGATCAACCTCTCCCAAAAATCCCCAAATTTTCATTTGGGGTTGGGAGGGAGTGGGGGAAGGATGGTTTTAAGACCTTTAGCTGTGCCCAAAGGGCTTATTGCCTTCCCCTGCTCATCCTTTTCTGACCAGTTTATGACGCAGACCTGTTTGGCTTTGTTTTAATACATTTCTTGGAGAATTTGGTGCTCATTTCAGCTGCCATAAACGTTGCCAGATTGATCCTGCCAAACTCCTGCTCCCCTCTGGCTTCCCCGTGTGTGAGAGGCTGTAGGCTTTTTACAAATAGTATATTTTCTTGTACAAAGGGAAAAAGTAAAAGCAAATATCCCCAAACACACTGGCAAATGCCTGAACATTTTGCAAGAGATGAAACATTGTGTGCCAGCAAGAAATAAAGCAAAAAAAAACCCCAAACAGATGCAAAGCTCTGAAAAAGTGAGTGAGAAACTGGAAAGATGAAAGAAAAAAATAATAACTCTCCTTTTATGCCCCAAATGATCCCTTTCACCTCCTCTTCTTGAAAAATCTGACCATGCAGTGAGAAATACCAGCTTATTGACTCTTCCTGAGAAGAAATGCGGAGAGGCATTAAGTATTGAGTTTGTATATATTTATTTATGCTTAATTTAACGGGAATGTGTAAATATGGCGAGCAAGTAGTTTTTGAGTAATTTATCTGTGAATCTATACCTCTGTGAATGGGTGGGGGAATTTAAAAAGAAAAAGTAAAATAAATA